AAAACAAAATATATATACATTAAGACTGAAAAGTTTTCGGAAATTCTCATTTAAAATTCGCGCGCTGTATATTTTTCGATATTTTAAGTTTATGTAGTTTGGCAGCACTGTCCTTAATTACTATGCCAAAAATGAGCTCGATCTGTCAGACAGTTCGTTTACGGCAGCTGTTGAAACCAGTTCACCTCAGTAGTGCGTTGCGAAATGTCTTCGACGGTCGTACGACCGTCCTGGAAGGCTTTGTACCACTCATAAACTTGAGTTTTCGATAAAACTGATTCCCCATAAGCCTTTTGTAGCATTCGCAACGATTCTGCACACGAAATTTCGTTCGAAACACAAAATTTGATGCAAACTCTTTGTTCAATATTTTTTTCCATTGTTTTTTTCGCAACGCCCTACTGAGGTGAACTGGTTTCAACAGCTGCCGTAAACGAACTGTCTGACAGATCGCGCTCATTTTTGGCATAGTAATTAAGGACAGTGCTGCCAAACTACATAAACTTAAAATATCGGAAAATATACAGCGCGCGAATTTTAAATGAGAATTTCCGAAAGCTTTTCGGTCTAATTATTAGGGTGCCATTAATTTTCGAAAGTCGGAAAATTGCCCGCGGCACCCCCCAGATCAGTTCATTTTACTAAAAAAATAATCTGTGTGAAATTTTAGTTCAATTGGATAAGTGGAAATGGTGCCCCAAGAGCCTCAAAGATTGAAAAATTACGATTTTTTCCATAAAATTCATCTTTGATTGCTTTTATCTCCGACATATTTAATTTTACATAAAAACTGTCTTTTTAAAAGTTATAGATCTATTTAAAATAAACAATTCACTTATACTAAGTTTTTCTGTATTTCTAATAGTTATTGAATAAAACAAAAAATAAGTTGAAGTCACCTAATTGCTAGCTTTGAAAGTACTATGAATGTAATTGTCCGCTTCAGCTTTACAAAAAATTTAATATTTCTAAAAAATTTAAAATAAATTCAATATTTCCAAAATTTAAACTTTCTAATAATAAAAAAGTACTAATTCTAGGTTTGTCCGACATAATTTTTTTTATTTTAGTTAAAGTTGCTGGAGCAAAGTATCCTTATTACCTTCAGTTATTTTTGCGCGATCTATTGATACTCTCCTGACTTCCTTGTCATCACTATCTATATTCAAATTTGAAACCATCTTTTTCTTTGTCTCAGGTGATGTATTTAAATCCAAAAAAGCAAAATGAACAAGCTTTGAGCTTAAATGCCAAATACAATTTTTTGATATTGACTGAGAATAGAAAGAAGATTAAAATCTTGAAAATGAGCTTTGACTGATGGCAAAGCATTAAACCATACTTCAACATACACTTTAGTAATAAATATACATATATCGCAAAGAGAATTTTCTTCTTCTGTAGATTATTTGAACTCTTTCCTAAATAAAAATATTTTTAATACATGCATGACTTTCACCATCCATCTTGCATGATGTATAGCTCCAGGAGGTCGAAACTTTATGGTACAGTTCGGCTTTTCTCCTGAAAACATTAATGCAAGTTCCAGAAGTTCCTTATAATCATCTCTGGGTTGGTTATCCTTACGAATCTTATAAAGGAAACTTATAATTCGTAACACATCATCCATATTTAACGATTTTCTTACTTTTTTATTTTCTAAGCCGACTGTAAACTTATCAACGTTTATTTTCGGCCAAAACTTCTGAAATCGTTGAAATAGTTCAACATTTGGGCTTTCAGACTTGTACACTTTTTAATGTAATTACTTTGAATTCAAATTCACTTCGCATTCCAATGAATAATACAGAAACTCACTTATGTATATAACTATACAAGTATTGGACTTATTTTCTAGCACATTTAGTAGACAATTCATTCATTGAACTTACCTAAATTTAATAGGGGGATTTCAGCTTGTATTTGCTTTTATTCAATAACTATTAGAAATACAGAAAAACTTTGTATGAGTGAATTGTTTATTTTAAATAGATCTATAACTTTTAAAAAGACAGTTTTTATGTAAAATTAAATATGTCGGAGATAAAAGCAATCAAAGATGAATTTTATGGAAAAAATCATTATTTTCCAATCTTTGAGGCTCTTGGGGCACCATTTCCACTTATCTAATTGAACTAAAATTTTACACAGATTATTTTTTTAGTAAAATGAACCGATCTGAGGGGTGCCGTCATCCGATTTTACAAAAAAAAAATTGCCCATATACCTTAATGGCACCCTAATGAACATATATAATTTATATATATATAGTCAAACTTTCATAACTCGATTTTTCTATAGTTCAAACTAAATAGAGGTCAACAGGGTTTCGAGAGCAAATTACATACAATTATAAAAAAATTCTTTAACTCGAAATCTCCATGACTTATGAACCTTTTTTTTGCAATATGGTATTTCGAGTTATAAAAGTTTTTTATATATAATTATATATAAAAATTTAATTATTTTGTTATATATTAATTAAATAATATATATATATATAAATGTATAACGAATATATAATAGATATAATAAATTTATATATAATATATCTATTATTATATTCATTTATTAAAACAAAAAAAAAACATCAATACTGTTTGCACATACCAAAACACTTGGCAATCTTATATCCATTATATATAGTAATATATAATAAATCTTTATTTATTAGTGAGTTACCACTAAAATTAATTTTAAAGTTAACTTAGAATAACATTATATTTACGTTAAGTATTTTATCTAAATCTTATTTAATATGTCTTTGGGTAGGTGTAATTTTATTATATTGTAGTCTCTATTCTTGATTGCGTTGAAAAGGCTGGTGTAATTGGTTGGGTTGTTGGAACAGTTTATGAGAAGGCTGATGGTTAGAATATATCTTTATTTGGAGCATGTTGGTTGTACATCCTTTTATATAAAAAATATATAATAAATAATGGATATATAACATATAATAGGTGTATAACATATAATTGATATATACAGTCAAACCTCTTTATGGCGAACCGCCCTATAACGGATTCCTTTCTATAACGAAGTTTTGTTGAAGACACAGCGATTTTCATATATTTGAACCTCTCTATAGCGAATTTCTCTATAACGAACCTCTCTATAGCGAATTCCTCTCTATAACGAAGTTTTTTCAGATACGCAAGCAAATTTTTACATACAAAAAAACCTCTCTATAACGAATTTATTCAAATACAATTTAAACACTCAACACACTCAACTAATACATTGTAACTTATTAGAAACTTCTTTGTATGCAAGCTATTAACTTGTTAGAAGATTTGGATGAGTTCCCTAATAAGGAAAAAGTGGAAATGTCTAAACAAACTAAAATTATAGGCTTACCAATATACAATTAATGTTTTTAATGTTATGTATAAATATATATATATATATGAATAAACATGAATTAAATATATTTTTAAAATAAATACGTACATATTTCTCAATCAAATGCAAAAAAAAAAATTCAAACAAAAAAAATTTGGTTCAACCTCTCTATAACGAAAACCTCTCTATAACAAAGTTTTTTGTAGGCACCAACGACTTTGTTATAGAGAGGTTTGACTGTAACATATAATAGATATATAACGTATTATAGATATATAATATATATTTTATAAATAATTGTTAATACGACCAATCTTAACAATAAGTTTTTTAATTTTCACCGGGCTTAAAAAAAAAATAAACACCTATTAATTTGTGTTAAACTTTCTACGAGTTGGTCTACGAATTAGGCTGAAAAATCTGTATTATAAATATTTTTTAAAAATATAATAAAAAGTTTTAACACAAATTAATTAATGTAATTTTTTTTATCATTTATCATTACTATGATAAACCTAAGCCCGGTAAAAATTAAATAACTTGTGTTTTAATAAATATATAACATAATAGCTATTATTATATTTATTTATTAAAACAAAAAAAGTACACTATTGGTTGTACACACCGAAACACTTGACCGTCCATATAGTCCAGTCTTTAAGAAAGCCAACTACACAATAACATGACTTACTGAAAAATATAACTGAAACCGGTTTTACATTGTATTTTATTGTTGCATTAGTTGCCTTCCTTATTGAAACTCATTATACCATGTTTATGTAACTATAACATTTAGAGGGTGGAATGTTATGTGGGGCTTGATATTCCATTTTGTTTCTTTTAATTATATTACTTCGGGTTTAATATTAGAAGATCGTATTTTTTTAAAATAATGTTTTATATAAATACTGTTTTTTTTTTACTCAGTAGAGTTTGCAACTTGTCACGTTTTTGTCAAAAGACAAATCTTTTAAATGTACTTATATACTCAAGACTATACATATACATATATATCATATATATAGAGGCAAATACTTGTATACTATTAAGATAACACAATACATATGCTATTTTTTATTAGTTATTCTTGTAAACTTGGAATGTCTTTTTAATTGCTTTATATCGCTTATAATATCTGTTTTGTGTAATTGTTGTTATTTTAGATATAATACATATGGTTCTATTATTTGCGGCTATAAAATATATATATAAAATATTTATATAAATATTGTTCTTTAAACTTTACCATCTTTTTTTATATAACGTAAAAAAACTTCTCTTTCTATTTTTTCTTATAATGTCTATAGTTGGTTTATTCTATCCCATTATATATTTTTTTGCAATTTTTACGAGTTGCAATACAGCCGTAATGGTTTTTCTTAAACATATACTTCTTAGACAATTTTCCTCGGATTTTTCTGTTCTCATATATATATATATATATATATATATCTATATGTATAATATCTTTGTTAAATTTACGTTTATATGTTTAGATTTATTCACATTTTTAACATTGTTGAGACAACAGTTTATATATTAACATATGTTTTATTAGTACTATTGTATTTGTATGTTTCGCAATATTTTTTAATAATTAAATCATTCAGAGTGTTTATTTGCGTGGTTTGCATATTTAATTTCCACTTTATTTTTAGGATACACGTGCTACAAGCGTCAGTCCATTACGTCGTTTGCGGCGTGCACGTCGTCTTTCTGAAGTCGCTACCACAGCTGAAGTCGAATTTGGTTCTTCTCATGCAACAACCGCAGCACCAACTGATGCACCAAAACCCGTTTCACCTGATTCTCCTGTTATGGAACAAGCCAAGCCAATAACAACAAAAACAAATACAGTTACTGCACAAATACTACCGCCACCTAAACGTGGACGTGGACGTGCTAAAAAAATTCCCTCAACGGATGTCGTAAATACTGAGAAAAGTATAGAAATAAGCGAAAGTGTTAGTGGCGTTAGCAGCAATGAGGCCGCCACCGTACGTACCAATCCAGAGAAGAAGGTTGGACGTAAACGTAAACATGTGGAAGATATTGATAAAAAAGGTTTAGGCCACATTAAAGGTAATGAGGATGTGCAGTTAGATGAAGTTAAAGATGCTGCTTCCCAGGCATTACTTAATGACGGCAAGAGAATGCGAAGAAGTGTGCGTTTGGGTCAACGCATGGATGGATTTCGTATTTTGGTAAGAATTTGAAATAAGGAAAAATAACTGATAATTTTCATTTATTGGGTTCGGTGGGTACGGGTAGCATATCTTAAATTTGATAATATTTTTAACGTTAATTTTGTTTGTGTACCGCTGTGTGTTTTGTTGGTGTGCTATAATATTTTATGTTGATAAGCGGACTCAGTTTAGTTGTTTCGTGTTTTGCGATAAGAGATAAGTAAAAATCTTTCCTCATATGAGCTTATTAATTTACAATAAAATTGTCTTAGTTTGTTTTGATTTTAGAGAAATAGAAATAGTTAAAAAAAAATATTATAAATATTTTTATTTTATTATTTGAAGAAAAGTGCAATAAGAACTTAAAAATAAAACAAAAAAACTTTAATGTTCTACAATGCGATTCATATTATTAATTTTTAAACTATTACTACAGTACAATAATTGCATTAAAGAAAAAAATATACAAAAAAAAAGACATGAAATACGTGTCAATTCCTCCATTTGATTTGAAAATGAATCTAAAATCTATATTCAATTATATGAAAAAAATTGGTGCCAAAATAAATTTTGTACTTATTCAGATAATTTGAGTGAATAAAATAGTTGCCGACACAGAAGCCATGTTAGATATTTCCAATAACAAAGAATTGTAATTAGTCATAATTTAAAATTTGTTTTATATGTTAAAAATAATACATTGAGCTTATAGTTCTATACCACAATAACTCTAAATAGTCTGCTTTGAAAAATTTTTTAACTAAGATTCTATGATACCATTGCTGTTAACTCAACCTTACTATGTAATCTATTACATTTTTTGTCTCCCAATAATTTATTTATTATAAATTATTAAATAATTAATTTTTGCTAGTAATTCTGTTGCATTTTTAACTCGGACTATTCAACTTTTGGATCAATATGTGTTTTGAATACTATTACAAAGAATATAAAACCTTAGTAATAAATAGGTTAATTACAAACCTCAAAAATGATAGTAAGTAAGTCACTGTTCAAAGAAGTGAGTGTCAATGTATATTAATGGTCCAGAATCGATATACACTTCGTGTCTATATTACTAATTCTACGTTAAAAAAGTAGAGTAATTCTTTTCTATTACACTTTTGAGTCTGCCATAGCAGGCGTTACTTAAAAAAAAAATTCAGGAGATCAAAGAAATGCGTAAATAAGATACATACTCTTAGCTAACATTTAGTGACAATACAAAAGTTTTGAAATTCTACTCTTCTTAGTGTCCGTTTCCCATAGTGCATCATAGGGCCGCAGTGATTCTCCTAAACCATATTCTGTTACGTGCTGCTTTGCAGATATCGTTCCATGTGTTGTGCGATTCTGTTATTTCTGTTTCAATTGTCTTGCTCCAAGTTAAAGCCGGTGAACCAGGAAATCTGTTGCCTTGTGAGTTCCACGTCAAAGCTTAACGTACAATGTATTTATTTGGTCGTCGGATAGTATAATCAATCTAATGCCATTTTCGAATTTTTATTAAGTTTATAGCAGCTTTCTGATTTGTTTGGATCAAAAGATCTGGATTTGATATGTGCTTGGGTCACCATATTTGTAGAATTTACTGCAGGCATTTATTTAAAAATGTTTGTATCTTTCCTCCTATCTGTTTTGAATGCGAATCCATGTTTCGCAGCCAAAATAAAGGAATGCATTTACATTTGAATTGAAAATACGCATTTTGGTGCTTCTGTTAAGTTGTCGCGATTCTCATATGGTATATTCCGTATTGAATATATTTCAGAACGCCGCGAAGTTCTGAAATATACTCTCTATATATTCAACAAATTTGGAGTTCGTAACTGCAGTAAGAATTTTATATTTCTAATACTCTTATAGGTACTTATAGGTACTTACTTCCCTAAGTGGGAAGCGGTGGAAACATTTAAGTATGGTTTAAAAGAATCACTGTTTGAAAAGTTCTATAATTGGAAATTAGTTTCTTTGTCATAATTGACTTTAAAATAAGACTTGATTTATTTTCTAAATAGCACTAAATATTTATTTTACGTTATTAATTTACAATGTAGTTATAATTTTGATATGGCCTGATGCAATATTCCTTCTCTACAAGCGTCTTAACTGTGCGCATGTCTTCTGCCATCTCGTACAGTAAGGTCGGCTAGGGTTCTCTTTAATACAACCACTCATCCAGAGACACGTTTTATTCCTCCAACTGTTGTTATAAATACTTTTTTGCTGAAGCATCGCTAACGAACCTCACGGTATTACAAATCCAGCGAACCCGCTGGAGTGAATATTAATTCACTAAATAACGTTAATGTCGTGATAAAGCTCACATAAGGCTCGTTGTTCATATAGATGCGGTAATCGTTGCTGATTTTAAATTACTAAAGACCTTACAAAGAACTTTTCTCTCAAACATTTTCAGAGCTGCATCATTATTTTGTGATTATCTCCATTTTTCTACACGTTTATTCCCAAAACTATAATTGGCATGCTACAATGATTAATTAAAGTTTGTATCCTAATATATATATGTAAAATATGTGTATTGAAAATCTGTTTTCATATTGTGTTAGTTGATTCTTTAATTATTAGTATTAAATATATTTGCAAATGTTATTTATTTACTTATTTTATCTTTCTTTATCTTATCTACGTAGGGGATCTAGGAAGGTTTCTATTAAATATTAATTTTGGTTAACCGCTACTTAGTCATAAGTCTTGGCATGGTATTTTACTTCAAATTATTTAATAGTAAAATATTTTAGACATATTTATTTTCGTTTATTTATCAAGCTCATAACTTCTAAGATATATCCTTTGATCTACTTCGCGAATGAGAGTGTATAGAGGCCGCCATAAAAAGATTAAACACAAAGAAAAAAAAATTAAACACATTTGAGTCAAAATGTAATGTAATAAAATAATAAAAGTAAATAATAAATTAGAATAGAATTAGTCACGGTTTTATAAAGAATAAATGATAACTGATACTGAACCCTTCAGATGAATATTAGAACGCCTGTCATTAAGGGTTCCTTAACAACGAACAAGGACAGGAATATCTCAGTATGCGCTTTTAGTCCATATCAATGCCAGATACTGATATTTAATTTGACTAGTATCTTTTTGTACGCATCTTTTTGTCTGTTGCGCTAAAGTCTATTCAAATAATATTTAAAAATTATATTAAAAATAATAAAAATATAGTTAAGTACTTAAGAGGAGATATAAAGTATAAGACATAAAAGGTGGGCGTTGTTGTTGTTGTTGTTGTTGTAACCCGCCGGGACCTGAAAGCAGATAACATGAAAGGATTACAAGACGAATATATGGGATAAGGAATGGAAAAAGTGGGAGTGAGTAAGGTGGGCGTAATTAATTGTGATTACAATTACAATATTACAATTAAATATTGTAATTGCGAGTGATGTAGTAATATTAATAGTAAAAATCCTAATAGTAGAAAATTTATAGCATCCCCCACAAAAGAATTAAAAAAATATAGTTTATATGGAATAATGAGTTCGTCGAAGTTGTTCAAATTATTTAGATCTCAAAACCATATTACGAGAATCTGAGCTGTAATTCATAGAGAACGCAAAATTCTATTTTTATCTCCATTTTTATCTCTACCATACTCAGTTTTGACAAGACATTGGATAAGTCTCTCGTTAGGAGTGGATTTATCCATATATACTGACGGTCTAAAAATAGATAGTGGTGAAGACAGTAGAGTTTTTTCGGGGGGCTATATAAATTCATATATTATAGGCTTCCTGATAATTGCTATGCTTTCAGGAGCAGGTAATCGTTATTCGAGAAGCCATAGCTAGTCAGATAGTGTAACTGTCAGTCAGTCAGGTTGTTTTAAAGCTATTGAGTTCAATCAAATTTACATCCACGTCGGTATTTACCTGCTTCACATATCTAATGGAGATATCGATAAAGTTCAACATTTTTTTGTTCTGGATTCCTACTCATAGGAATATTTTCAGTAATTGCGAGATTTGAAGGATTTGGGCATATTGCTAACAGTTGTTGAAATATGCGCAGTTTAATATAAAGTAGAAAGACACAACGATAAACAAAGTCAGCGGTGTGTAACTTGGCCACGTGCTATTAATTGGAATTTCTCGGAGCTACTCCAACAGCAAATCTATTTAAAATCTGCTTAAAAACATACATTCGACAGCTGTACGAGCTGCTGGTTTTACTCGACCGAAATGTTCTAACACACTTCGGAATCTAAGGACGTGTGCGAGTTAGGCTAAGTTGATGCTAAACCAAATAGGAGATTTTTTGGGATTTTTTGCACTGCACACATTTAGCTATTTATCAACACGTATCGACACATCACTACATTATCGGCTCATCTTAGAATTTCCCCTCATTTAGAACGCAACTTAGCCTAACTCGCACACGTCCTAAATGCTCAAAGAACTAGAGTTAAGCATTAAATGATCTGTACCCTTTTTAAACCTTGACATAAAATTACAAATTCTTGATGGCTGATATTAAATTTTTTGAATTTAATATAGTACCAATTATTCGCATCTGAATATTTCTTGTGTATAAATATGTGTTCTTTGAAAATTATCAATATTGTGATAACTTTTAAAATAAACTTAATTGATGTAATTAATTGATGTAATTTTTTCTATTCTTTAGGAGGGACCCGGTTTGGATGAGCTTAAAACAGAAACTCCTTTACCTTCTAATAATCTAACTAAGGCAGATTGTGTCGATGCAATAAATCATTCCGAAAATATTCCAAGCAAACGTAAACATATGACAACAATGCTAATTGAGAAAGCTCCACCAAAAAAGCGTGGACGAAAAGCTAAAGTCCAACAGTTGGATAATCAAAAAATTCAACCTACTCAGCAAACTGTGTTGAATATTACTACGAATAATGGCAATAGCAGTGGAGACAGTAGTCAAAATTCACCACCAAATTCAGAGAAGAAAAAATCTTCTAATATGACACATTTCATACCAAAGCGATCTCAACGACGCATAAAACCTACAACAAAAATACTAGAAAATGATGAACTGCGTTACGAGTTCGAAACCAAAAATATTGAACGTATAACAGCTCAAAATTGGGAATCAAATAATGAGATTAAATTTGAAAGTCCAACGCATCAAATTTCAACTAATGATAACACACCAGGTACATCTAAGCAAAAAAGCGAGAAATCTGAAGCTAGCAACGATAGCAATAATCAACATCCAAACGGTTCGCATGCAATTAAAAAAAAACTTTTTAGCAAAAACCGTCGTGATATTGCAGCATCTATTACTGCACTTAAGGTAAAGAATGCACTAAAACCAGCACCAGAAGTAGATAAGTTTTTAAGCGAAGTTAAAACATTAAAATTGAATCTAAACAGATCGCCTGAAGAGAAGAAACTAAATAAAAAACAATTACGTCGATTAGCTAAACAAAAAGAAAAGCATTTGGATAAGCTCGGCTTACGACGTGTCACAAATAAAGAGACTAGCGATATTGACAGTTCTACAGACAATGAGGAATTTGTACCGAATACTCGTGTACAAGTCAGTAAACCCAGTCTTACTTTGCGCACACGTACCGCTAAGGAGTCGACGCCCCCGCAAACACAGTCACAAACAACAGCTCCTGCTAAAGTATCTCGTAGAGTACAAAAACACAAGTCAACGGTTTCACGTAACGAAAATGAACAAATAGAAATAGAATCCACACAATTGCGCACATTAAATGCCATACAGGCGGTTGGAACTACGGTCACGCCAACAACTTCTCCCAAGCAAACACTTAATTTCATCTGCCTATGTCAAAGTCAATCTCAGTATTTCACCAAAAACACTAAGTCATCATTTTGTTGTGCCATTGACAATATTGAAGATCAGAAAGTTGGTTGCTGCAATGAATTAAATGGACAGATCCTTAATTTATTACGCCCCAGTCAACGTGTTGGTTATATGATATTGTGTGATGATCATAAAAAACGCTTAAAAGCACATAATTGCTGTTCGGGTTGTGGAGTTTTCTGTACGCAGGTAATGAAGACAGTTAATATCTTTTAGTGGATCATAATTTATAATTTGTTTTATTTTTTTTTTTTTTTTGTCTATTTGTAGGGAAAGTTTGTATTGTGTAAACAACAACACTTCTTTCATGGCGAATGTGCACAGAAATATATACTTAATAGTCCTTACGATCCTTTACAACCTGCAACAAGTTATTCTAGTCCAACATTGGTGCTAAAATGTCCGCATTGCGGCACAGATACACCGGAACGTACCTCAACTGTAACAATGAAATGCCAATCCTTGCCAGTCTTTATATCTAGTCAGAAAAATAAAATGTAAGTTTAACTAAAAATTTTAATACATATAGTTTAAATTGTTGAGAACAATATATATATTTATATGAGTTTTTTATATATTCGAAAGTTTACCTTTTTTTTTGTAGACTTGTAAAAATACTTTTCTAGATACATACTACTTTTTTGTGTTAGTGTAATGATTTTGAAGATACATTTTTTAAAGATCATTTTCTGTAAATATCGTGTCATTACTTTGAGATTTGAAATTGAAACAACTTTTTAGTGTTTTGATGTGTATGTTATCTTAGATCTTATCTATATTCTAATCAGAAAATTAATTTTTCCCATGGCAAAAAATCTATTTCGAATAGAAAAGCAGATAATGGTAAAGAAATATTCAAAGCCACAATGTTTAATGATTTTAATAAAATTAATTATCGGGCTGACTTGACTATACAACTGTTGTCGATATCATCATATATCTATTATCAGTGGTTTTTGAATACCTATATTGATTATATTATTATTATATATTATTATTTTATATTATAATATATTTTATTATATTATTATATATTATAATAATTATATTATTATAACAAGGTTTTTGGAACAGTAGTCAAGTACAACAACAAAAATTTATTTTATATTATTTTAATTAATTGAATTTTTGACTGACCATACAACTGTTTCGAGTATTACCAAATACCCATCATCAGTGGTCTTGGAAATATTTATTGTATTTAATTATTTAATTATTTATTTAATTATACTATTATATATTACAATTATATATAATATATTATTATATATTATAATAATATATTATTATATATTATAATAATATATTATTATATATTATAATAATATATAATAATATTTATTATATATTATAATAATATATAATATATTATTATATATTATAATAATATATAATATATTATTATATTTATAATAATATATAATATATTATTATATATTATAATAATATATAATATATTATTATATATTATAATAATATATTATTATATATTATAATAATTTATCATATATTACAATAATATATAATATATTATAATAATTCATAATAATTATTATTTATAATAATAAATTATATTTTTTATATAAAAAAATTGACAAAGTTACTGCCTTCCTTATCAAGTCAGGATATTATCACAATTAATCTTATAATTATTGAATTACGACTATAAATAATGCTTTGAATAAAATCACTTTAAGTAACGATAAAATGTTTCTTTAAAAGATGTATTTAATAACTTTTTTCTAACTTATTGTTTTAATTATAATTAATTACTTCAATGTAATTATTTCAACATTACAACTACCTTTTTCTTTATACTACCCATATACCTTAAAGAATCTCAACAATTGTCTCTATTTTCAATGAGAAAAGATGCTTTTATTCTGCTAGACTATATATACTTAATTGATAATGTACTTTTTTGTCTTGTCGAAAAGTATGTAATCATATAATTGTTTAATCTTTTTATTTACTTTATCTTAATTAGTATGCTTTAGTATTAAACCAGCTCGTTAATCAACTTTTACGATATCTAAAATAATTAGGTTTTAGAAGCCCTATTATTATCTTAAATGCACCCTCATTATCATTGAATGCAACAAAAACGACAGCGTATTCTAATGAAGCCATATTAAATACAACTCAGTTTTACTCAATTTTTCTTGAAAATCAAATTTTATTTTACATATTTTTTGAAATTGATAGGACATCAATTTCAATTCAATTCAACGAATTTTAAAAACTTTAGCACCGAAGTTATTTTCTTTAATATATAGTATTACTGTTATTCAAACCTAAGCATGAATGTGAATTTATAAAATAAATATATAGAGTGGTTGTTGTTCTGGTGGTCGTAGTATCTCTTAAAAGTCTGCTGAGCTTGTACTTGTTTGATAGAGTCATAGTCATTTGGTTATCTGATCAGTCAGATAACTGTTCAGTATCTGATCAGTGCTTCAAGCACTACGGGGTGGTATGACACTTGTTTCGACATCATAGCTATTAATCACATCTTGTTACCAGTAATAAGTTAAAAACTCATTTGACTCTCGAAATTGAGAATCCTTTAATCCATGAAAATTTGTAGGCAATCATAATTAAGATATCATGCAAAGAGTTGATTTTTCTCGGTAGTATAAAGAAGAATGTTGATGACAATCAAGTAAATGTCTATATGGCATTTGATAGGTTGGTAAGGAAATAATAAATAAATATACAATATATCATACATATCATATATATATCAATCCTGCTTCGTTCTATGAGTTTGGCCGAGTCTAGTAGTCTTCTCTACCAAACTCGATTAGTGTTTTGCTGTCACTAGCTGGTAGCATTGATTGCCTTTAATCATTGGTCACCGAATCCTTCTACCGAAAATGCGGATGTCCGCGTTTTCCACTAGCGAGTACCGGGCTCAATTTCTTTCTAGCCGAAACATTTTGTTCCATTCGCGGGATTCTCCAGCAAACTCGGATCAATGGTTTGTTGTCGTTAGTTGGTATTATCGCCTTTATATAGTTGTCACCTTTATATATATATAGACACCTGGTCTTCCCGCCCAAGATGCGTATGTCCTCTTACGCGTTTTCCACATCGTATACCGGGTTAAACATATTTCTACTCGAAACATTTTCTTCCATTCGCATGATATGATCAATCAATCAATGCCTCCGTGATTTCTATGCAATTATGATAATATCGCGGTATAGCTCATAAAGCTCATCGTTCCATCTAATTCGATACTTGTTGTCAATCTGTAGGGGACCATAAATTTTCAGAAGAATGTTTTTCTCGAATGCTCCTAATGCCTACCCATCACTGTAGTGACAAAAAAGAAATAAAAAATTAATAAAATTAATATTATCGGATACAGAATCATAAATACTTTATAACTGATTTTTGTACCAAGCTAAGAGAGCCACTCCCGGTTAAGAGAGGTGAGCGGAGTTGGTTCGTCACAATGGATAAAAAGCTTTGGATGTAGAGCTGGCTGCTCCTGGAAATAATTACAAAACAACTCTGTTTCCTAAAAGATATATACATTAGAAAATTTATAATATATAAAAAACGATTGTACTTCCTGAATATTAATCTATAATGTATTTATACTTTTTTCTTATAGTAAACCAGCTAAAATGTCTATTTCGGGTGACTTACCAGTTATTGGTAATAATCGTTCATCGAATACAAATGGCGCTTCTGGTTCATCTAACACAAATAACAAAATTAGGTGCAATAGTATAAATTTTGAACAATTAATACCAGAATCGGTTATGAATATTATTGGTAATATGGTCGAAAGAACCGTAATGGAAAGGAATAGTAGAACCCCAGAGTTCTCAACTCGTGATATGTTCTATGCAATAAAAAACGATGATCTCGAACGCGTTGCACAGATACTTGGTAAGTTTTCGCATAAACGAGCACAAATTCAGTATTATAGAAGAATAATGATATCTGTTTTTCAGCTTCCGATTATGATGTCACAGTACGTATGCGTGAAGCTATTAATGGCACATGTTTGCATTTGGTCGCCCACTACGGTACACTGCAAATGGCGTACTTACTGTTGTGTCAGGGAGTTGGAAGTGAATTTATAAATGTTATAGATCGTGAACTGCGTACCTCGGCTATGTGTGCCGTAATGTCAGACAAATGTGATATTCTCAATTTGTTTATACAATGTGGTTCCGAATTAATGATAAAAGTATGTTTAGAAATGTTTAATATGAATTTACTTGATATTTAAACTAACAACTTTTTTTTTTCTTTTTTGCTTATTGCAGGGTCCTGATGGTAAGACCTGTCTTCATATCGCCGCTAAATTGGGGAATCTGGAAGCAACACAGTTAATTGTTGATAGTTTCAAATCAAGTAAAAGTATTTCACAATTTTTGAGTTTTCTTAATGCGCAAGATGATGGTGGTTGGACGGCTATGGTGTGGGCAGCTGAGTTGGGACACACTGAGATTGTTACGTATGTTCTAAAAATAAAAACAATTAATGTGTGTTGATAAATTAATATAAAATAATTATACATTGATTAGTATGTTGCTGCATTATGGCGCCGATCCAGATATTTGTGATAACGATAATAACACAGTGTTGCATTGGGCAACACTACACAACAATGGTTTGGAAACTATTACGGTATTATTACAAGCCGGAACTGACTGTAATGTACAAAATATTGAAGGCGATACACCACTGTAAGTTGAATAATTTTATGTTTATAATGACGTAGCTATGATAGTGTAATGTTGCAAATTTTATAGACATATTGCTTGTCGTCATTCTATTACACGCCTTTGTCTCGCACTCATTGCAAATGGTGCTGATTTAATGATTAAAAATAAAGGTGGACAATTACCATATGACTGTATACCACATGAAGATTCCGAATGTGCACGTACAGTAGGTTTTAATATTCACATGCGTTCCTTTAAGCCGCTTGGACTGCGCAATCGTATTATATGTAGTGATATCTCAAATGGTCGTGAGATACGGCCTATACAAGCAATACGTAGAGATAGAATATTGTTAGCACCGGATGAAGCTGATGATATAATGTTACCTGATTTCAAATATATTACAAAGACAATTATATTACAAAATTCAATACAAATAGATAATCGTATATCACAAATGCGTATTTGCTCTTGTATTGATGGGTAAGTGGCTACTAATGTCTTTTTTAAAACATAAATAATAGAAATAAAATATATATTTTTATTATAGTTGCAGCACGGACCTTTGTCAATGTACGGGCGCATCTGTACAAATCTGGTATACTGTTGAAGGACGTTTAAATACTGAATTTAATTATGATGACCCCGCTGTTATATTTGAATGTAACGATGTCTGTGGTTGCAATAAGGTTCGTTTTTAAAATATTATTAGAAAATACAATACATAGTATATACCTATAGAATTGATATAATTTGTTAGCCTATCTTTCTTTTTTAATGTAAATGAATTTGAAATTCACAAAGAATCTTAAAATATTCGAATTGGTGATATCATGAGTTCAGAGTATATTTCCAAGTTCATATACTTTATTGAGATTTGCTTCTTTATCAAGTAAAAAATTGTCATCTAGATATTTCTTTTATTTATGCATCAGTGCTGAACAAACTCCTAGCAGAGGCTGTAATTTCATTCTCTTCCCTATGATGTCTGAGGTAGAAGGTTCTCAATTTTTGGAGGTGCCAATATAGTCAGAATTCATATAACAATTGTATATCACATTTACCATTTAAACTGAACAGTTAAAATTTTATTTTTTTATTTAATAAGTATTGAAGTCAAATTTAGTGTATGATAGATGTAAAAAATTTGAATGCTTGATGTATATATATAGTATACAGACTATAGTACCATGTACAGCAATATGTACTTGATATATACAGTTTGATATATACAAACTGATTGCGTATATAAATACTTGTATGATACTAATGAATAATACATTATCCATAAATTTTGATAGATTTTTAGATTAAGTCAGTTTGGGTTGACCTAATCTGCGTGCTGATGCAACTATCAACACTTCCACCCTAAGTTATCGAATGTACATTGTGATGACCTTAAAACTACCCGGGAGAATCGAGTTATACTAATCGTAATTATCTCCACTTATTATTCCACCATTAAAGCATTTTGAAGCTATTTGATATCTACACCAGATATTTCCACCAAAAATTGTATAGTAGTATATAGTGGACATCCCAATGGCGACATGGCTAGTAGAGGACTCCCTCCTAGATGCATTCGTCGATACTTCCCTTCTTATTATCGATATATCGACACGCTTTACAATGAAGCCAACATCAGTGAGGTCGAATATAAACGTGGATTGACGGCCCTCCACACAGATGCAGTCTCGTCTTCAAGACCTAGATTGTCTGACAACAAGGCTCTCAATAGGCCTCCGCTTGACATGTCTCTTAAAGAACGACGTCTCGCCCGTGCAGCAAGAACTGTCCTAGCTCAATTGAGATCAAGATATAGCCGAGTGCAAAATAGTTACTATATGTTAGTTACTTGTCACGCATAAACATGTGTATTTCCAATGTGTGTCCTAACTGCTGCTCTTCTCTCCATGACGGCGTACATTTGTTCTCCTGTCCTACAACTCACACAAACCTTCGTCCAATCTTTGGACCCACCCCGTTGAAGTGGACAGGTTTCTCTGGCTGGATTTCTTTTTTTGGGTCTTCTCCAGAATTTGACGCACTGTCAAATATCTAGACCAAATGGTTTAGGATGGATTTGTCAGATCTGAATCTACACTGATAAGGTCCAATCAGTTGGTTGACGATTATCTTCAATCTTTCAGATAGTACGTTTGGCAGAACCTTATATGCGATATTTAAAAGACTGATTCCGCGATAGTTGTAAAGCACACTTAGATTCCAATTATCTCTATCTGGTCAACTAAATATTTGGTTTTCTCTTTTGTTAATTTGTACAATGTGGTAGAATAAACATAAACCTTTATAATAAAAATTGTAGCTTATATTAAAATGTTTATTAAATTAATTTACTTTTTTTTTTGCAGCTCTCTTGTAAAAATCGTGTGGTGCAGAGCGGAATACGTGTACCTATGCAAATAACAGAATGTGAAGATCCATGTAAGGGATGGGGTGTTCGTGCATTGGTCAATGTGCCCAAGGGATCATTTGTGTCGGAATATACTGGAGAAATACTAACTGAATTCGAAGCAAATCGTAGAACTGACGACAGCTACTTTTTTGATTTGGGAGAAGGTCACTTCATTGACGCTAATTATTATGGCAATATTAGTCGGTTCTTTAATCACTCGTGCGATGCTAACGTGGTACCCGTTCGTGTTTACTTTGAGCATCAGGATTATCGTTTTCCAAAAATTGCATTTTTTGCCTGCCGTGATATAGCAGCTGGCGAAGAAATTTGGTGAGTATTTTATATTTAAAATTAATTAGCTCTAATTTAATTTATTTTATTTAATAATTAGCTTTGATTACGGCGACAAATTTTGGATGATTAAGAAACGTTATTTTAATTGTGCATGCTTATCATCTATCTGCCGTTATTCACAAAACACTCCTGAACCTGATTTGATGGTTTCTGAATTAAATGATGCGCAATCACAAAATGGTATATCAAACGAAGGTAATTCAGTAAATGATAACTTATCATTGTCGTAGCTTTAAAATGTAATATTTGTTTAATTTTTGAAACTTGTAAGATTTTTACAAATGACAACACTACTATTTTAAAGCAACATAGAATAAGTAATTACATAAATATCTATATCCCCTAATTTAATTATAATATTTCATACAACTAAAAGCTTTTTTATGCTCTTTTAAAAAATAATAATACACTAGTTTCTGATTAAAAAGAAATTTTGAATGTGTTAGTTAATTAATACATAACACAAAATTAAAAAAAAATATTAAGTTCATTTCTATACGTTAAAATTTCAGAAACTTGTAAAGAGCATATTAATTTTTGATTTTTATTCACTTTGTTCCCTTAATTCACGTATCTATCCATTCCCTTAGAGATAAAAAAAGACTGACAAATCTGAGTTTTCAATTAAATGTTTGCCTATTTTCTTTAGTGAAATAAACTATAAACAGTAAAGCATCTACACCCTCTTCCCTCTACCTATACCAGCAACCATACTATCCCGTGTTTTCGTTTTGTAATTCTAATAATGCTTCCTGCTAGTAATAACAACAACAAATGCACTTTAAACAATAAAACATACTATTGGGCATTATTTCTTTTTTTTTAATGCAGTTACAAGAGCATTACACATTCATTTATTACAGCAGAGTTACACTTCCATTTATGGAGATTGAACTCGTACTAACCATGACTGCCCATCTGTTTTTACTCAAACTATGCTCTGAGGTTTTGAGTCATGCGAACGAACTTTTTCATAGGTTTTTGGAATAAAAATTTGTTGTAATTTTCTTGAGTATGGCTAATTGTTGCTATATATGTACTAAGCAATATGGAAGTAGTCTACAAATATGTTGAATATATCTCTTAAATATATTAGGTTTCGTTAAATATTGATACAGTTGCAAAATAAGCTAACCTTTAGAATATAAATATAAATTTTTATCGAGTGTCCCCCATAGAAGGAAGAAGTGACACTTGTTTTGATTCTGCTCTGGAATCAATTGTTTATAAGTTCTTATAAGAATAACTTTGGGAAGCAAATGTTTAACGTCTAACATATATTGTCGATGTAAGGTTCAACATTTGTGATATCTTCTACATCAAATGTCGCCTATTGTTTACCACAATTACCAACAATGTTACCAATAAATTCATTTCCCTTATTTATTTGAACCTTAAAACATATTTAAATAATTGTTTTATAAATATACATATTAATGCATAAATATAAAATAATTAGTAAATAAAGTTTTGGATTTTTTATAAAAAAAAATAAAATAAAATATATAATGGAATTTTGATTAAAGCTTGCAGTGCTTATTGTTCGGTTTCTTATAAAGACTGAAAATAATATTGAATAAATGGTTTCAAAATACAATTTTCCTAAACAAGCATTTCACGTTTCTAATGTAAAATAAATCTATTTACATACAAAAAACAGAAGTTTTTATATTTGGTTTTATAGGACACAAAATTTTTTTTATCACTACAGTTAGTTAAAGAAATGTACTTAATAATAAAAGATATTTAAAATTGTTGTATTTATTACAATTTTGTGTAGTTGAGTCCCACAAAAAGAATATAGTTACCTTAGACATCAATAACAAGTTCGCTATTCTGAGTATGTAGATACTATATTATCCACCCCTTATCATCACGCCCAAACTAAGAGAACGTTTAGTACCATACAAAAAATGTTGTTACTCAGAATGTCGATGATTGTACTCTAATCTATCATTGATATCAAGAAAGCTTCTAGATTTTTCTGAGTGTGACGAATAACCTACTTGTTGGGATATTGCTGACATTTCATTAGAGTCATCTACTAATGTCTTTTCTTAGTATGAGCATAAGGATAAATGAATATTTTGCATCCTTTATCTTTACGCTCAATATAAGATAATATTTTAGTCGGTGACTCTCCTGAAATAACAACAGCACCCCAACAAGTAGGATATTCTGAATGTAGCAATTCTATGCAATGTACCCATTGCCTGCATGCTTATAATACAAGAAAATGCAGTTTTACAATGAGAACATAACATCACGAACGTCGACAACTTATTGTTGACTTATTAGCAGCACCCTAGCAAAAAATATATCATCGTTCTATACAAGTTCTACAGAAAGAACACTGATACTGCGTATGCCGACGACTTTCCGTGAGCCATAAATCACACCCCACATAAGATAGGCTATCGCAAGTGTTGTAATTTGTGTATTCAGCCCTTATTTACATACTAACACTCCGGGAATGTTTAGTTCCACACTTGAAACCTGATACCCGCAGCGCAGTCCATTCTTCCTGATATATCAACAACACTGCGACAAGAAGTATGTACCCAAAACATTAATTCTTAAACAACTTTGACGTAATGTTGATATTGATTATTTTTCAATATTAATGATGTTATTCCAATATTATTTGACTACGAATGATTAGTAGCTTACGTTGCTTGTTTAAACTTTAATAAAATCCGGGTGTTTCTGGTGTATGTATGTATGGAGTATGACGTGCACCCAGCATATTATCGTAACTCTCAAAATATCTCGTTGTAGTAGATTATCATAATGTATATAGATTTTATTTTGAATATCATTTCGGTAGTGTATATAAAAATTATACTTTTATATGATTACTTATCTTCTGCTCAATAAGTACCCGGATTTTGTAAATAAAACACACAAATTTAAATTTTATTCCAAATTTATTTTATCTCCTTCAAAATATGTTCCTTCTGAAGCGATGCACATATGGGCAATTTGGGTTTCGGGAACAGAAAAAGTCGAACGGATCCAGATCTGGCGAATATGGTGCCTGAGCGATGACAGTGGTGCCGTGAAGAATCCAATTGTTGGTTTTCCACAAATCTGGTCTTTTCTTACGGATGAACTAACGCAAATGCCGCATAACAACGAGGTAATATTCTTTGTTGATGGTATGACCCTCTAGCAAGAATTCGTAATGAACAACACCGCGGTAGTCGAAAAAAACAGTGAGCATAACTTTAATTTTCGAGCGACTTTTGCGCGGTTTTTTGGGTTTTGGCTCGTTTTTGAAGCGCCATTCGCTCGATTGTTGACTGGTTTCGACGTCATACTCATAAACCCATGTCTCATCACCTGTTATGATGCGTTTCATGAATGTAGAGTCGTTTCCATGCTCAAAAATCATTTCTTCACACACGTTCTTTTGGTATTCTTTTTGCAAAAACTCAAGGTGTTTCTTTACAAGTCGAGCTGCAACGCGTCTCATGCCCAATATATCATGTAAAAGGTGGTGAATGGATCCATTTGAGATGTTTAAGTCACGAGGAATCTCCCTTTCAGTCATACGACGGTCTTCCAACACAATTTTCTTGATTTTTGCCACGTTTTCTTCGGTATTTGATGTTGATGGACGTCCAGAACGAATGAATGATTTATACCACTCGTATGCCTGTATTCGAGACAAAGAAGAGTCCCCGTAAGCTTTCTGCACCATTTTCAATGCTTCAACACATGAAATTTCGTTCAAAACACAAAATTTCAAACAAACTCGTTGTTCAACTGAATTTTCCATAGTAAAAATCGCTAAATGCACTTAAGGTAGTCTCACATTAACAGCTACTGTAAACAGACTAATTGACAGCTGGCGCTCAAATTTGTACCATATGTCAAGAAAGGGACATATGGTACAAATTGAAAAAGGTCTATTACTTAAGGAGTAGTTAACAAAATCCGGATACTTATTGAGCAGAAGGTATGTTATACAAACATAAGATTAAATAAATTATATCGCAGTTGTTAACTTATGTATATATTTGTTCAACAGATATTTCGATCTACAAAGTAGAACCGTAGTAGAACAAATATCACAATTGTTAAATAAATATATACATAAGTTAATAACTGTGATATCTTTTATTTAATTCTAAATTTGTGTTTATATAATATACATTATTATATAAAAATATAATTTTTAAAAACACGACCTAAATCCCAGCAAGATTTCTAAAGTTTTGATATAGAAATATGTCAACAATTTCTAAAAAGTTTAGAATACACAAAGAAAAGATAACGATAGGTTTTTTATACTCATTTATATGTAAAACAAGTGTTCGTTCATTTTTTTTTTTTAAATCGCTAAAATACTATATCTTTATTACAATAATTAGATACAGATAGTATTTTGTTATATCGATAATTAGAACACATTTGTTTACTTTGAATATAAGTAAGCTTTCTGAAAGATAGAGAAAGGGGTGGCACAATAGACCCGATGGTCGCAGTGCCACATCCCGTAACAATAATAGTAGACGAAGATAAAAAAAAAACTGATTATAATAGCTTTATTTATTGTACTATAAATATAAATAGCTTTATAGTAAAATACATAAAGATAGATGGCATTGTATTTTGCTTGATGAAGATTAAAAAATATATATTTTTTAAAAATAGCTGTATGTAGTGTAAAATAAAAGTTTTACCAATTGCATTCAATTGAAAATTTATGGGTTTTAAAAAAAAAAAATACAATAATAAACATATTTTAGGGGATATATATAATTATGTATTACTTATTTTATTGTTGCACTTTAATAGTCCTAAAAACTATTTTAAGTATTATCTATGTAAACTTAGTAATGTAAAGGAAAACGGCATTTAAATTACATATGCTGTTTATTGTAAAATAGTTTGCATATACGTTTACCTTCAGGTTTATATATTTGTAAAATAATGTTTTTTATATTTATTTTATTTTAATTTTTTTATTAATTTTTTTCTTTTATTTTTATTAATTTTTTTTTATTTTTTTTTTAATATTTTTGCTATTTAATTTCTCATTATTTAATTTTTTATTTAGTCTGAAGTAGTTTATTATTGTTTAACATCACATGTAGTTTAATGTAATGCTTATTATTTTGTTAATACTAATATTTTTGTCTAATTTTCAGTTCAAATTTTTTTTTGGGTGTGCTTAATTGCATTAATCTATACATATTTATGCATTTTGTACCGCTGAACTAAACTGACTACCACTTATTTGAAAAATTGAATTAAATTTTCTTGTAATTTGTTTTGTACTAACAAAATTGAAATAACCATAAATAAATTGTTTAATAAATGGTGTCAAATTAGTAGTTCTTTATTGCATGCTAAATTATATTTTGTTAACTATTATAATATTATAACAGACGCCGCACTATTTCCTTCGTTTCGCTAAACAACCTCGTACAACGAAGCTTTAATTTTTGGATATAATACTTATTTAATACTTTATTACTTTAATACTAATACTTTATTACTTTTAATCCGATAATAATATCTAGTATATTAATTATATCTATTAAAAATAATTTATTATTATCGGAGAAGGAGGGAAGACCTTAAGATTTTGTTATGTCTTAGGTAGAAGTATATAGTAATAATTTGTTTGACATTATTCTCTACTAAGATCTAGTATATATCCTTACATAATTGTAATGGATGGTTACTACATTGTCGTATATAAAACACAAATCAAAAATATATATATTTTGACTTGAATTATTCAGATTTATACAAATTTTTTCAAAATATCAGGATACTAGTTGTTAGTGATAAAAAGTGCTATGGTAAAATCGATCTTATAATGGTCTTTAGAGAACTGCAGAATAAAATATTACAATTATCAGCATTATTATTACTATCCAAACTTTCTAATTAAACTTCAATTTTATCTAAAATGTCTAAGAAAAATATTTGAATATTAAAAGGTTTATCATATGAATGGTTAAAAACCGGGATAATTCATTATATCATAGAAAGAGTCATATTATTAGGAATTGATTTGATTATTTAATTTACATTGCTTAATATGTATTTGTGTATTTAGGAGTATTTTATGCCTACAAGCAACAGGAAAAACAGTACATTCTTGAGTAAAGAATAACTCGGTATAGCAAGCTAACTGAATAATAAAGGGTCATACTAATAATCACACAAAAAAAAAATAAAAAATTATATGCTTTACACATATAAAATGCATTCGTAATAACTTACATTATATCTTTAGTTATATCGAGAATTTACTGTATAACAGTAAGTTCGTAACTGGTTATATTTCCATAGATTTATGTGTACTATGTACGAATTGAACGCAGCTAATATTAAATTAATATTTTCTCTTCTAACTTTATAAATAATCTGTATGAGATGAGTGCTCAATGACTACATATTTGCTATATATGTTATTATAAAAAAATACTTAACCATAAAAATATATGTTTTCCTTTAAACAATATGACAGCTCATCCTTTATATACACAAAAATATAAAATTAACGATTTATTGCCACAACCACTGACTACTTATATATAGACATTTAACGTCAATTAAAGTTTTGATTGGTGGCCTTATGCCCCAAAGCCTTTCAAAAGCATTAAAATGGGCCTAATTGGCCTGATAACATTGATGAGATACCGTCCATACGCTCGACTTAAAAAACAATCTTAAGGGTAGGTCGTGCACGAACAGTATCACTTTGACAAGTGATTCTCCTCAGATTCTCCTATTCAAACAAAAGAGAGTCAATCTGAGAAGTCTATTAACTTGACATTTCTGACAGTTCTGCCAGGAAAGTTCTCCTGAAGATTTGGCATATTTTTCCTACTCAATGCTGTGCACTAATACATGCGATCGAGTATAGATTCCGCAGAACCACAGCCCCAGTACACAAAAATCTGAAACGAATTTGAGAGTTCAGATATCAAATTTTTCTAAATCATAGTTAATCTTATTAACAATTGAATCGTAATTTCTAAAAGTTAAATTTTTATGATTTGCTCTCTGAGCACATATGCATTTCTTTATTTTACATACTTTTGTATTGTCTATGGAAGACTCTTATTCTCTCTTTAAGTAAATGTATGTTTTTTTTATTTATAGGATAAATCGGATTGACAATACGTTGTTGTAGATTTAACGGCGATCGAACGATAAAATTTTAAAATATTAGTGAAAATTTATTTTGTAAATATATCCTTGAACATATAGCTATCCAAGCAGTACGAATATAAGTTGTTAATGCTAGAAATATCGTTTCTGTTTAAACGATAGTTTAAACTGTTAAAGACATGATCCATTGATATAGAACTTTTAACTAGTTTATTTTAACGTTATTTGCTTTAATAATTACTAAAGTAGTCATAATAATTTATTATCTTATAACTTATTATTTCAATTAACAACTCATATACAAAATAAGTATATATATTGCTGTGCTAGAAAACTAAGTAGATATATAGTTATATATATATTTAAATTTCAAAGTACTGTGCATGTTTTTATCTGTGACATTCCTATAAATAACTACCATATATACAATATATGACCCATCCTTCACAACATATTTCGGGAAATAGGCTAAAATATTTGATCCAAAATAATTTTGAAAGTCTTAACATTGTCTGCAGTCTATTTGCACTTACAGTATCCTATCTGCTAAGAAAATATAATGTATAGTGCCAGGGCGAAGAACCTAGTAGTACAGTTCCTTATTTTTAGTTAACTTTAAAATGAATTTTAATGTTAACCCACAAATAAATAATGAAATAAAATAATAAATAGTGAGCTGAGCGGATAATTATAAGTCAGCTAGCTTGTTTATGTTCAGGAGGAGATTTCGACTAAGAGTCCAAATTTAATTAATATTAAAAAAGAATTGAATTAAAAAAAGTGTGTACCGAAAATGAGCGGTACCCATTAGAAGAGTTTGGTCTGCATAATTATCCATTAGTTCTAATAAATACTTTATTAATATTAATATTTTTATAAATCTATCTATTTAACTATTATTTGCTGGTTTTTTTTAATAATATATGAATTTTCGATCCCTTCATCACAATTACCTGTTTATATTCCTAACGGTGTAAAGAGAACTCTCTATTAAATAACCCATATATATACAAAATAAGATTATTTGGGTTCTATGACTTGCGCCTGTAATGTTTGGCAATATATATGTGAGTAAGTATGTTTAGTATATGAACTCTGACTCTACGAAGGTTAATACAAAGCGTCGTTATTGTACACACATTATTAATTAATATACAATAATTACTTTAATTAAATTTATTTTTTTTTTTAATGCTTTTCTACCTTATTTTTGCAGTTTTATTTTATTATGATTTTGTATTGTGCAACATTAAAAATTGTTTTTGTTTATTTTACACACGTTTTTTTTTTTGTTAATATATTTTTAATATTTAATAATAATATTGAATAATTTTATTAAAACTTATCTTTAGACTGAAATAAAACATGAAAATTGCACTGCTTTTCATAAATTTTCATTAGCTTTTCTTTTATTTTATTTTTTTAACCGAAAGTGCCTGAATAGATTTTGTTTAAAAACAAAAAAAAAATAAAATAAAATACAAAATACACATATATTATATGACTTAATAATTATTAATTAAATAATATGAGCAACAAATTATTTGTACACAAAAGTTTAGTGTATTTTATAAAATTTTGTTAATTATTTGTTTTATTAGAAATATTTTGTATAAATCGTCCCAAATATTTGTTTTGATAATACAAATATAAATGCATATATATGAGCATAAATAAATATTACAAACGTTCCTGGCGATCGTTAATTATAAGTCAATTACGTTAAGTTAAAATATTAATTATAAAAATTAAAGAAAAAGAAAAACATTACAAAAATTTATAAAATAATGCATTATCACAATTTTATGAATTATTTTTCCAAAGAGACTGTGTAACTGTTTTTGCAATGTTAAATATAATAATTTTAAAACAAAAATGCAAAACTTTAATTACATGTTATGAACAAAACTATATACTTTATATACTAATTTACTTTTTTATTAGAAATTTATAATTTGGCAATAAATTATTTAAATAATATTCAACGAAATTACAAAAACAAAAAAGTAAACCAAACCAATATTAAGTGTGTTATCTAAGTTCTTGTCAAAAGTGTTTATTAAATGTAAACATTAAAATACAATTATCTTTAAGCATTTTAAATCTATAACTATAAAGTATCCAAAACATTATGTTATTTATAACATTATTTAGTAGAAATTTGAAAAAAAAAAATATGTTAATCTAAACAAATTTTTATTTGCATTTCAGTTGTGTAAACAAAAAATAAATTTTATCTATACAATTTTTGTATATATTTATACATACATACACATCAAGAAGTGAATGAAAGATACACTTGTATATCAGCAAAAAAGAAAAAAACTATATCTCTATGTATTTAATAAATATTGATATCAAATAAATAAGAAATTCAAATGAAGTTAATTTAATGTAGTATTAATTTTTAATTAAATATAAGGTGAGTAGAGAGATAGAAAGAGAGAGAGAGAGAGAGAGAGAAAGAGAATTTGTAAGATATTTCATAAATGTTTTTTACTAAAATAAAAATACAACCAGCTAATTGGTAATATTATTGTTTATATATGAAGTTATTTTCTTTGTTTTACCAAAATATGTTTATTTTTTAAACACAAAGGTTCGCTAATGCACATACGAAATAGGCTGCTAGAAATGTATATTCTTACGGAAAAGGCAATAAAACTCTGTAAAGTAGTTTCTATACTACTTTTTATTGTCGCAACAGGGCTTAAAGACCTACTCTAAGCCCAGAAGAGGCACAATAGACCCGACGGTCGCAGTGTCACATTCCCTAACAATAAAAAAAATACAATTACTATTGAAATAGTTTTTCAATAGTAAACCTATTGAAGGTGGAGGAATGTGCGGGACTAGGCATAGTCAGATCAGGCAAGAAGGATTAAGAAGCGCTAGGACAAATTACTTGTATTTTTTAAGCGGAAATTTACGCAATATTCAAGTGCGTGTTATCAATATTGAACGGAATCACCAGGGAAAAACTATCGCAATACTGACAGATAGCCAACCAGTGATCAAGGTACAAAACTCGCATCAGATGCTTTCAATACTGGTGCAAGAATGCTTGATAAGTTAAATATGCTAGGCGAATCAAATCAGGTGTCGATTCTCTGGGTACCGGATCATACTGGCCAACGTGGAAACGAATACACAGACAAACTAGCCTGGAAAGGAGCCAGTCACACCGATGATGGGGCCGGAACCTTTCTGTGAATTAGAACATAGTCCCCTACTTTTTTTCATAAAGATAAAGGAGAACCAGAACAGACAATATAACTGAGATAATATACCAGGATTAACACTAACCAATTCACTAATTGGTACCTATAACAATAATAGATATCAGGAGTGTATGAACCTATAAAGGAAAAACTCGAAATCATTACAGGAATTCTAACTGATCACTGCAAATTAAAATATCACCTTGCAAATCTCGATATATGTTATATACGGATGTAAACTGCAGATTCTGCGAAGAAAATGAGGTGTCAGCCACACATTTGCTGTTCGAATACCCTGCAATAATGCACAAACGGAATAGACTCCTTGGAATGTATACCTTTACGGAAGAGACAAGAGGTGATAAATGGAATTTATGACGGACTGAAAATCTCATTCGAGTATTGCCAAATACTCATCAACAGTAGTCTTTGGAAACATTTGTTAAATTTATTTATTTGTTAATATTATCTTATGGCGTTTTCGAGGAAATCTAAATCTGGAGAAATTTTTTCATTCGATTAGCTCTTTTAATGAACTTTTAGTGCGGTTTTATTTTCGATTGGTAAATACGGAGTGTTTTATATAATTTGACAGATAAATAAAAATATGAATGTCTACTAACAGTCCTACAAAAATTTTAAATTACTTCGATTGGGCAACAAAATTTAAAAGATCGAGCCTATTGATATAGTGTGAGGCTTTAGACAAAGTGATTCCTTATCATGTGATCTTTTCAATTTCGTAATGGAAGTGATAATGTGCAGGTCAGGTATTCATGGTAATGGAACAATATTTTACAAATGTGTCCAGCTCCTTGCTTACGCCGACGATATTGACATTATTGGGCGTAGCAAACGTGATGTTGTTGTTGTCTTTGCTGCTATCAAAAAGGAATCTGCAAGAATGAGCTTAGCGGTAAATGAGAGGAAAACGAAGTATATGTGGGTTACTGGTAGAAATGTGCATCACATGGACGCCGAGCTAGTGGCTGGCGACTATTTTTCAAATCTGTTAAAGATTTCATCTAAGCAAATATCGACAATATCCGCCTGAAGATCAGACAAATAATCACTAACTAAAAGGTGCTACCATGGGCTAAGTAGGCCATTGAGATGTAGAGCTCTATATGTCGCTCATCATTTCTGTACTTCTGTATAGTGCAGAAGCATGGACGTTATCACAGAATGAGGAAGCAGTACTGGAAGTGTTAGAGAAAAAAGTTCTTTGTGACATCTTTGGTCCTCTATGAGTTGGCAACGACTAGCGAATACAAATGAACCACGAGCTGTACGAGCTTTATCACATCATTAATATAATACTGTAAATTATCATCCACCGACATCACTGGCTTGGTCATGTCGTGAAAATGGATGGAGATGCTCCAGCGAAAAAGGTGCTTGAAGCAGTGGTTGAATGAAGAAAGCGTAGACGTAGACCGTGTCTCCGGTGGAGTGATCAAATTAAGGTAGCACTAACCGGATTTGATGAACTAGACTGAAAAAGTCACGCACACAGCAGAAGCGCCTGGAGAAGCATGCTGCGTCAGTTTGAAACCCGGTAACGGTTTGTTATGGCCAAACTAGTAAGTAAGTACAAAAAATTTTACCCTATTTCCGAAGAAATCTAAAAACAACAAATGAAAACTTCAACGACATGAAAATAATGAATTACTACCTATAGAGCAGTAAATACAAGAAAACAATGTAAATAGTTAAAACTATTCTAACAACTGTCAGCGGCTATACGTTAAACATTATTAAAATAAACTTATAAGATCGCCTTAATTTTATTAAAAAAACCAAACTGTTTAACAAAGTAAATCAAAAAACTACATTAGAAACAATGGTTATGTACCTTCCATGTACTGGCAACTTTGAGGGCAGTATATGGGTAAGAAAATAAAACATTGATGATATAATATGGGTAAAATAACTATATAGGTAATAGTTATCTCCGAGTATGAGAAAATATATTGGAAGCAATACTCATCTCCTGGTGTCCTTTTTACAAAGAACACAATGGGTAATAGTTATTTTTGACTTTAAGTGTTGATGGTTGGATCAACACACGTCTTCATTCTATCTAAAAGAAATGGTTTTGCTGGAAGGGATAATTTTTTTAAGTTATTTAAAAAGAATTTATAAAATTAAATAAAAATAATTTAAGAATCTACAGATTTTCAGAGTACCTTATATTGAATGAAGAAATAAGGTTCAATTTATTGCGGAAATTGGAATCAGAGAAATACTCTGAATTTAAGAAGATAACAAAATACATTTTGAGTATGAATTCTCCAGAAATAGAAAACTTAGTATATGATTTTTGCATTCACCCCTATTTCATATATTTCTAGGTAATAAGTTTCTCCCAAAACGTATTGCTCCCTAGAATTGAATTGAAATTTTTTTTTGACTTTGGCAGCACTTACATTTTTTGATAGCGAAAAGTACGAATATAAGAAGCAAAATAAACAAATGAAGAAAAATTGAGCATCAGTTAATGCTTTAAATAAAAAAAATTTGTATTTTATAAATGCATTCAATTGCATTTAATAATGAATACATTTGAGTAAATAATTAAAAACATTTATTTCATTTATTTTTTATTTTAATTATTTTTTTATTTTTTAAATACTTACATAACTCGTTTTTTTTTTCTTAAAAATAATAAAAAATAATATATCTTATATATTAATGTAACAATATTGGAATTATTTATGTTTTCACTGAAGTTTGAGTTTCTCCATTTCCAAATGTCGACGTTATTTCAGTTTTGTTTTTAATTTTCAATAAATTGTTATTACGACCAATATTTATTTAGTTTTTATATTTTTTACCAGGCTTAGGTCGTTTATTTAACCCGTAACTTTATGAAAATGATTTTTAAATAAAATAAAAAATTACACTTTTTAAACGGTTTAAATATTTAGTTTTCAATTTTCCGTAACTTTAATTTCTCCACATCTTCTATTGTTTTCATTATTTTAAATTAAAACACTTGAGGATAACAAAAAAATATATATTATATATATATATTCGAAAAACTGATCATTATTGATTACTTACATATTAAATTTAACTCTTTTTAACTAATCTCTAACATAACTTACTTATAACTTACTTACTAATATAGGGAAAAAACTCCCATTCCCAATCCATTAGAATAGGGGTACGTAACGCATTGAAAGATTAGGTTAGGTTATACCGGCGATTACTAGGGGATCCACTAATGCCTATTGGCCCATTGTGTTACCGTATGTAGAAGAAAACTCAGGGTTTAAAACCACCTAGAACCTTCGACTAAGCTCAGAATGCTGTTAAGTGGGAGGTCTTGTAATTTATCAAGATCTTCAAGAAAGGTGGCTTCTAAAGTGTTCAGTAGATAGAGGCACTCTCATCATCATCTCCACAGCTGCGAGAGGTATGATTGAAACGGATATTTAATCTTCTAGTATAGTTCCTTAGTTCGCAGTGACCTGTAAGTAAACCTACCATGAGACTATCTCTACGGGGCATCTCAATGAGAATATTGGATTTCTTTTAAGTAGTATGAAGTTGCCAGGTTGCATACAGATGCCAAACGCCAAATAAAAAGCAAAAGTTAAATTTTTCTCAAAAGTTCATTCTTTATTTTTTATGCATTAATCTTATTACAATATATATAATTTGTTTGTTTTTTTTTTAATATAAAAATTTTTAATTTTAAATTAATCAGTTAATTTATAATTGTATTTTCAATTTTTGTAAAAATTCATATTTTAGAACTTATATACAAAATCTAATCAAAGTATTTATGCGTACTTAAAGTTTATATAAATAAAAAAATGCGTTGCAAAATTCTACTAAATGCTCTTTTCCAACTTAATTCGATTACTTTTTGTTTTAATTATTACTAAATAAATGCATATAAATAATTTAAGCACAAAATCGTATAAAACATAATTAATTTATGAATAATTTTAAATAAATATTAAATAAATAAATAGCGAATATTTTGAGCTGAAATGATGAGATTTTCGTGGTGGGACGCAGTCTCTATTGAAGTTAAAAAATTATTAACAAAAAAATTCTGTTATGTAGAATTTTCAGTTATTTTTTTATATATTATGAATTTTAGAACTTCATAGAAAGTGGCCTATAGCTAAATTAAGTTTAGTTAAGTGGTAAGTACTGATGAGAAAATTGATCGAATATATAATAGACAGTTTCAGAAATGAGATAGTTGCTTCACTTCTGAAATTTATTTTCGTATTAGGTGTGTGCGTTTCAGCAGGGTCTTTATTTAAATTTGTGCGATTTTCAATTAATTATAATATATATTCAAAGCTCTTTTCTAGCTTTTTCTATTATTAACTAATATTTCTTTAATTGCTTTCGATTTAAATAAATTATTTATTAATTTTATTGTCTTTAAAATGTATATTTACTTTGTTGACTCTAAAATTGCACGAAAATTGTTTTTCGCGCACTTTTGCCGCAACATTTCAGTTAACATTTTAAAAACAGCCCTAAACTAGATATTATATTCTTTAAACTTAGCAACTATTTAATTTTTAACTTTAATTAATCCTTAAAATATTAATTATTGCGTTTTCTTATCGAACTTCATTTGCTACGCAAATTATTTCGAAATATTAAGCATTTTTGTTAGTTCTTTAGTAGGAAAATTTGAAGTACTCGTAAGTGTCTAATAATTTTTCTCGGTAGTTTCTCTGCGCCTCAGTTTATGCTACAATTTTGTGTGGTTGCATCCATTTCTTCATGTAGTAGCAGAACAACGTTGAGATATACAATAAGATCATGAGCGCACAGGTAACAGCGAGTGCCAATACTGATGTTTTGGTGGGGCAAGGCTCAATGATAGTGACAGTCTTATCTGCAGGGGAAATAAGAACGTATAAAGTTGTATTTAAAATTTTTATTTCTTAATTAATTTCATATACGAACCTTTAGCAAAATCTGTGCTTGGATCAGCCTTAAAGAACTCACGTTTCTCATCACCAAAGTCCAGCACAAGTATTTCTTGTGAAATGTTCATATCCTCATCAGCTTCTTTAGTTTCATTACTGATTTAATGAGTTAATTATGTATTAATAATTTTGTTTAAAATAAATATTTAAAATAAATATAATAAATCATAACTGACTGTACTTACCCCTCAATTGAACGACGACGTCTTCTGCCCAAAGATTCAAATGATTCCATATTCCATTCACATACCGCTGGTTCACATGGTCCCAAACAGTATTTAACATTACATTGGAAGATAACACCGTAACTTTCAGTGAAACGGAAAGCTTCATATGTCGATTGTAGAGCATTACCATCAGCAGTGAAGCCAGGGAAGATTGTAGGATCAGTTGGACAACCATCATCATCAATAATTTTGAAGCTTGTACGTGCATCCTTAGCCATGGCAACACAAGAACGAGCAAAGATGCCATATGGTGCTAATAAAATATACGATTAAATTTGAGTCATACTACTTCTTTGGTATATTAAACTTACTGTCTTCTGGAATTTCAATACGGAAGTTAAGACGATCACCAATACGCACAGTTTCCACTTCACGTTGACGTGTATCCAAAATGCGAATTCTTGGTGGTGGTGCTTCAGGTGATGAATTGATGTGAATCATTTCTGGATCACGTATTGGCATCATGCCGAAGGTAATGTTTTTAGAGCTCATATCGTAGGTACATTTTACCTGAGTTAAATAAAAGTAATACTATGTTTAAAATAATATCTTGATTAGCTACTTACTTTGTAAATCTTATCGGCCTTAGTCATAACAACGCTATGATGTTGTAATACAACAGTATTGGAATAAACACCAGTCTAAAAAGTTGAAGATTGATTAGTGATTAAATTTATATATTGTTTTAAAACTATAATTTAAAAAAAACAGTATCACTCACCACGCTTTGAGTATTACAATCCTGTCCGGCCATAGTCAAATCCAAGCGGAAAGCATCAGAGTTGATGACATCAATATTACAAGTTTCTGACCGACCAAGTGCATATATACGTCCATTGAAGGGTTTATTAGTACGCACTTGTACGGCAATGCGTGTATCTTTGCAGTGTACCGAAACTGGTGAAATAAATATTTTGTTGTGTTTTTAATATTTTTAGTTCACTTTTCTTTATAATTTTGATTTGTTCTTAAGGTTTTTGCCAACATAAAAAACTTTTTATTAGTCATTATTTTAAATATTTTGTTATATATACAAATTTTTACAAAATTTTCTCAGTTATATGATCTTCACACTATAAAGTACGAAGATCATACGAACTGCGAAGATTTTTCACGGAGTGTGGATTCACATTCCATGTTTGCTCTCAGAGCAGCTACAAACGAAAATTTGAATGACACATGCCTATAACGAATGAGATGTGACTAAAGCAATATGTGTGATAATGCAAGAATCTCTACATAATTCTGATATAATATGAATGAGTATGAATAGAATAAGAAGAAGATTTTTCATACATTCATGCTCCCGAAGACAACAAGAAGTGGTCACTTCAGAAAGTGACTAGCATAGTGTGACTATTCCTCTGGGCTCAGAGTTAAATCTTCAGTCATAAAGCATTTAATTTATCATCACAACTGTCTCCGTCTCCGTCAAATAGAACTCCGACCATATTATTCAAATAATATCCACTTAGGTAATCCGACTCTGCCTATCAAAGAGAAACGACTTTTTTAGTTGTAAGAAGGACACATCTGGCGATTACCGGAATGTCGTTCCAATATTTATATTCTATGTAATTTGCCATTGCTTAATAGCGTGGTAAGTGCAGAGACTTGAAATTCTAACTGATGATTTTTGATGATTTTTTTTATATCATTTGAAAAAAAAAATCAAGGTCTTATCTATTGAGCAAATGTCCGACATTGGTAAGGAGCAGGGTTAAAATTCTTGAAGAACCCTTTTTTGAGGACCTCTAATAACTGTCATAAACTGATGCTATAGGCCCATAGGGGGTGTACATGGACTCTGTGACAGACACGCCATTAAAAGCTAACCTTACTTAATTATGGACAAACTAAGTCCATAAAAATGCTCAGCAGAATTGTGTAATTAAGCAGGTTCCAGTGAATCCTTCCAGAATAATATAATGTAATATTAATAAACAAAATAAAAAGATAAGTTTGTTAAATAACTTTTTATGAACTCTAAATAAATTACACCCAATCTTATTTTTTATATCAAAATTTTCTGTATAAATATCAAGAATTTTGTTTGACTTCTAGATCATGATTTTAGAACAACTCTTATGTAAATATGTTTTTGTTCATATATTTTTGTTAACCAAAATAAATAAAAAGAATTATAAAATATAAAAAGTAAAAAATTAAAAAATTCAAATTCAAATAGTGTTAAATTAAATAATTTTAATAAATAAATAATAAAAAAAATCGCACAACTTACCATCATAACAAGTGCCAGTCTTATCACAGTTCACATCATTTCTGGTTAAATTATTTAAAGTAGGATCTTCGGTGGTGTCTAAGCTAACTGGTAATGTATCCAATTTATCCAAGGTACCTGGTGGTGAAGCAGCAGATTTCTCACATTGATTTTCGAAGTATTGACCAATTGGTTCGCCATGATCAATAAGTGGACGTTCATGATTCAAATAAGTTGAGGGACCATCGGGTAAAGTTTTATGATCCAAATGATACAAACGGCAGTTATATTGAGAACCTTGTGGTTGTCCAAGATACAAGAATGAGCGACATAAAAATTCTGATTCGATTTCGCAAGCGAGACGGCAAGCTGATTCAGAAGTAACTTGTAATTCTTTATCAGTATAATAATGTAAGCCGACATATTGTGCAACTTTCTCATCAGAAACACCCATGCGTGCATTGGCAAAGGAACGTGTATTCTTACAAGCCTGTTGTGGTTTCAAACAAAGATTTTCAAAGTAATCTGTACCTTGAGCATCTGCCAATTGTACGAATTGACCAGAGCTACGACGATCGGAATCACTTAAAACACATTTCATATTATTATAATCGTATTCTACGGAGCGACAGACGAAGCGTTTTTCATTTAAGCAAGCCGATAGGCAGGCTTCTTTTGTGCTGGTGTAGATGAGCGCATTATCGAGACCACGTATAACTTTATTAGGTACTCTCTCAAAGGACCAAGGACGATGACAAACATTTTCACTGCGTAATTGCAATTTTACCATATAGTACATATTAGCTGAACGTTGTGGTGCTGCGGATGGATTATGCGCAGATGAATCATTCTGCAATTGACAGTGTGTCTCTTGTGATGGTGAGAGTGGATTTAGCACAAAACTGAAAGCTGCTGCTTGACAGTCAGCCTCTTCACGACACCAACCCTGACATTCGTAGAGTGACAGATTTTTTACGCTGTAATATGTAGTACCGGCGAAATCAAAATCTGTTAGTTTTTCGAATGCCATACGAGCCGTTGCATCACTCGGTAATAGTATGAACAAGGCACAGAAGGCTATTAGTATGCTGGCCGATGAAATGCCATTAAAATGGAAATTGTGGCTATTTAACAGTCGCATCTGTAAGTGAAAAGAAGATAATAATTTAATATATGGAATATATGGTAATTATTTCTTATACTCTAAACAAAATTAATGTATTACAGTATATATAATTAAGTATTATAAATATATAAAATATATATAAATATATAATATATATAAATATATAATATATATAATACATTATAATTAATATTACAAAATATAAAATTTTAAAAATGAAAGACACAATGAAAAGGGTTAATATATAATTTTATTTAAATGTATATGTATGTAGTTTTATATTTTTAATTTTAACAAAGTTCCTTTAATAATTTTAATTTCTATCTCTAATGTCAGAATTCTCTACTTGCTATAGAAAGAGAAATTGTCTATAATAATATAATTTTTTATTGAATAATTGTTAGGATGATCATACAGTGGTTTTTGATACAGTTAAAGAACTGTAATCAGTAGTTTTTGAAATTATTATTGTCGATTTGACAATAACAATATTTATATTATTATTAAAGAATATAAATTTTTTTAAGAACTATTGGAATATTTACACAGAAGTCTAAGAAAAAAATAATGAAACTTAATACGAAGTGTGGAAAAATATTTAAAGATTATTAATGAAATATAAGATATAAGTGGAAAAAATCAGAAATCTCTTTGTCAGACCTCTTTTTTATTGACTTGTCCGCGCTGTTATCCTGCAGATTTAGAGACTTATCCAAATTGATAGAACTGTCAGGTTCTGTGGTACCACAACGGATCATTATTTGTGGTCAAGTATTCTTTCTTGAGCAAGAGGCCACCATTTCAACCTAACTTAACCTAAGATATAGTATACCGACAATTTTAATACTTCTGTTTCCCTAAATACGAGTATAGTGATATAATTTCAGTATTAGCTTTATGCTTGGAAATTATGAGTATGTGAAGTTCATCAAAAATATTTGTAAAGTAGCATAGACAACATTGGACTCCATATATAATCTAGTAATATTATTGTTTATAATGAGATAACGATTTTCTTAATACACATCTACGTTTGTGTTTGTCTATTTAGATATTTGATATGTAATTTTTAAAGTAAAAAAAAAAAAACAAGAAATTAAAAAAACAAAAAAAATTTTATTACAATAACAACCCTGTTCTACACAGTAACAAATAGCTATGTTTCGTACTTATATGATACCATTCCGTGGTAAATTACCGGTAGTTTTAGCGTAAAATAATTTTCTTGGAGTTGAATATGTATATATGATTCATTTGAAAAGGCTATAAGCCGAAAATTGGTTATTAAAAGATATCGCTTTACCAGTACAAGCTAGTTCATTCCTAATATATACATTGAAAGGTCACTTTTCTGAGATAGCTAGTTGGTTATTTGATGGATCGTCTTAACCTGACTTCAGTCGAAAATTGGTTATTAAAAGATGTCGTTACCAGTACAAGCTAGTAAATTCATAATATTACATTAAAAGGTCACTCTTCAGAGGTAGTTAGTGGATTATATTATGGGTCGGCTTAACTTGCGTGACTAATTGTCATCCATAAAGCAATCGCAAATTCTACGTTCTACATTGCTATTAAAATCTAATCACATTTATTTATATTCAAAACTTATTACCGTTGGGTGTAGTGATAATATTGAACTTATTATTTAATTTAAATAAAATTTATCATTAAATGGAACCAATGTGTTTTCTTTTAAAATATAAATATTGTCCTAATAGTTTAATAGAATAAAATAATAAAATTGAGTAATAGTCCATAAAAAAATCTTTAATACTGGATTCACACAAGACTTTTATTTGTAATTTTAGCTGTCAAAAATTTTTATTTTGCAGTGAAAGCAACAACAATTGACAGCTAAAATTATAAATAAAACTCTAGTGTGAATTCACTATAAAATAAAACAATTTTCTAATGATTAAAATAAACGAATGCTTCAAAAAATATAGAAATTTACAGAATAAATATGCAGTACTAAAAAATAATTTAAAATAATAAATAAACAATATAACTAAATAAATAAATAGACAAGTAATTCATTAAAGATCTATCAACTTGAAAGGTATTGAAGATGCAGCAAAGCCAAAGCTAATCATTTTAATTATTTCTAAAATATTTAAAAATATATAAAATATTATTTTCGAATGATTAGTTTCTAAAAAGAAATGTTTATAGAATATGTATACTAAACATTCTCAATTCTCAATTACTGTAAAAATTTTAGACTTCCGCTTAACCCAAGATAATTTTAAGCTTGACTGGTTGTCATACCGCAAAGATTAGTGAGGCGCATAAGTAATATAAAAATCTGATTTTTATTTAAAAGAAAAAAAGAAGAAAAGTATTGACAAAGCTAATATAAAATTTTTATTTTCGAACAATAAAACCATAACTGTGTAAATGTATATATAGGTATATATATAATTTTATTGAATAATTGCCTATGTTTTTACTGTACGATGGCCTGTCCTCTCATAGATATTGTATTTTTATACAAGAATAAACTCGCATATATTAAATTTAATTACATTTATTACACTTTAATGGCAGCATAGATTATTTAAGTGATGCCAATGTATCTGACTTAGCGTTTCTTTTAAATAGTTTACAAAGAAAAACAACGAATTCAGATACTTGTACACTTCTATTGTTGTTGTTAAGTGTATTTTGCATGTGAACTCCAATGAACCTGTGCGCTTCATTTGTTTTGTTCTATGGTCTTTGTTCGGAACTGCAGATACTTACTGACTGCCACTATGATTCGCCATTAACCGTGGCTTTGTCAATTTCGCTAAAGTCGTTCTTAATGTGGCCGTTTGGTATATGCCGTTCTGCTGTTTGCCATTTGCTAGACTCCAAGTTGCTGTACAAAATGCGGTTAAGTCATTTATCTAACGGCATAAAGTGTATTTTTAAGTTTGAAGATTTAAGTGAGAACATCGGAATCGGCAATGGTTGCGATTCCGTCCACTTTTGCTGCTCACGGCATTGTGCCACAGCTCAGTTGTCTTGCGGTTTGGCTATTATGTCACGTTAAAAGTGTCATTAGGTGTGAAATAGCTTACAGAACTATAGAACTAACTTGGAAATGTGCTAACAATAGCAGGAGAATTTAAAATTGAAAAAAAAAAACAGAAACAGAAAAGAAAAGAATTTCTTATAATAATGCTTGCAAAAACGATGATTAAAAAATTATCTTTAATTGGTTAAGAATTCCTTAATTTTCACTGCTTCTTCAAAACATCGGTTCCGTAAGTTAGTACTATATATTTGAGCAAATTTGTCAATGGATTACTTTGAGTTTAGTTTAAAATTAAAAATAATTAAAAAGCTATTAAAGTACCGAAAATTCTTTAAATGGTCATTAGTTTGAGTCTCCTCTTCATTTTAACAATTAGCATAACCTCACGATTAGGTTTATTTGTCTTAATGGATTTTTACTGTTGTTCACAAGCATGTCTTGTTTAAATTACAATTTATTAGCTTTAAGTTAATTATTAAGTTATTGCTAATAATAATATTAAAATTATTTTTTTTAAATAATTTGTAAACATAAAAACTTCATAATAAACCAATGTGTTGCGATAGTTCATCTTAGTTATTCAGTGGCCCCATTCACAAGTTGTTTATAGTGGAAAAGGTATATATATATTTATAATTATATTGGTCCCTTTATTCACAGAGATATATTATGCAATTCAAAGTAGATGCGCAGATACAGAGAGTGCCTCAGGTAAGTATTCGGAACATGTAAAAGATCGTGTCAAATCATCGTTATCATGTTATTGAAATCATTGGCGAATTTAGTGGATCGTATAACCTAACCTAACAAGAAGAGGAATATTAAAAAACGGTTGTGGCAAAAATTCAAAGTGATTTTTAAATCTCTGAGGTCTTTTATGATTTATACGGACTTATTCTTAATGGGATCTTCGCCATCTCCAAGCTTTGTAGACATAACTTTAAAGTTAAGTCAGTTCTTAACAGTCTGTTAACAGTTAAGTCATAAGTTTTAGGTGATTTTTAAACCCATGAGTTTTTGTATGTTGATATAATAGGTTAATATAAAATAGATCTGTCCGAAGAGATGGAGTGTTGACTCTGCTTAGAGGCAGACGAGACTTCCAGTCACATTCTCTGTGACTCTGCCCAGCCTTGATCTGGGCCAGGAGGAGGTCACTGGGAGGAGAGCTGCTCTCCCCTTCTGACATTAGGAGGTCTTCAACGGACGACATTCTGGCTCTCATTCGAATGGCGGAATGTCTTTAATTCGGTTAGGGTATGTTGCAGCATAAAAGATCAATCTGGTCACAGTATCTAGTATCTCGCTCATTCCTATTTCTATTTCTAATGGTCTTAAGTTGATTCTAGGATCGTATAACTTAACCTACCGGAAGAGAAAAGGTATTTGCTTTTTAGAAAGTTTCTGAACATAAATGTGTGCTGTAATATATGCGGTGTTCAACTGGCAGAATAATTTATATTATGTATATAATAAACAATGAAGGTAATTTGAATTTTCCCAGAACCTTTGCTTGCGTATTAATGCCTCTTGAAGTAAAATGTTTAATTATAAATATTATGTTATCATTAAATTCATTTTATAATGTGTTTAAAATAAAGTGTTAAAATAGAAGACTTACTTACTTAAATTCACTATATAGTATTCATTAAATCTAATGAAATCCTTTTAACTGTACAGCGATTTGCATTTATAGCGTAAAATATAATAAAGTGGACAATTAAATAAAATTAAATTAAATTAAATTAAATTAAATTGAATTAAATTTAAATAAAATAAAAAAAAAATTTAAAATAATAATGTGAACCAAATCAACATAACAACAATGAATAATGCTGTTGTTAAAGATTCTGTTGCAGTTGTAGATTCTATTGTAGTTAAGGTTGCAGTAAAAGTTGAAGTTGAAGTTGCAGTTGCAGTTGCAATTATAATTAAAATTGAATTCTCATGGATAAGATGGAACAAAAACTGTACCAAAACAAGAGAAAAAATA